TGTATTTCACTACTACTTTTACTTTTGCTATTCACAGTTTATGCATGATATGTATTGAATGGTATGTTAAAATCTTTTTTAAATGTCATATAAATTATATAATAATATAAATATAAGCAAATCAGAGTATATTTAACGTATGTGATGTTTACATAAAAATAAAGAATGTAACTTACTTTGGCCACCAAATATTCGCCTAGAGCACAGTACAAACACATATGTCCAAATATATTGAAAATCGTGGATACAAAGAATACCAACCTTGGGATTGACAAATCATTTCCTTCGTCGAATATCTAATAATTTAGAAAGTATACAAAAATATGTAATAATTCATAATTACAATTATTTTAGATATTTTTAATAATGCATCATATAAACTATAAACAGTACAAAAATAATATAACTCAGATGTTATTGCGTTAAGAACCTTTAATATTTATTATTGAAGTAAAAATTTATCACTAAGTTGTAAGTAGATAAAATTTATTAATAAAAAGTTCCATACTCACTGTAATTACCCGGAAACCAAGGAGGGCGAAAAGTATCAAGAAGCATAGAAATAATACCAGAAGTGTTATGCTATATGTATCTTCGATAACCTCAATAGCTCTGTAAAAACATAAGTTTTGTATTAGAAATTTGATTAACTACATATTTCATGCAAATTAATTATATGAATTTATATAAATATCAAACCTAAGTAAACTAATGTGCTTTGTCACACAGCTTTTTAGCATGGCATAAGAATTAATATATTTATCCAGATATGTCAAACGATGTTTAAGAATGTCCAGTTGGCCGCATATATGGAAGATTAGTAACCCGAGAAAATTGTCGATTCCAGAATAGGACATAATCCCGAGAATCATGACGATTGCTTGACTAATGAATGTTAGTTCGTACTGCGGGCTTTTAGTTATGTCATAAAAATAATACGATTGTAAAGGCATTGGTTTGCCTGGATCAGTAATATTGGACAACAGTCTTATCGAGACTCCAAATCCGGGAAGGATAATAAGAAAGACGCATCCTAGTGCCATGATGGAATATGCGGACATAATAATTAAGCGTGCACTCTGTGCCCTTCTGATCATTATATTCCTCTCTTGTGCATTTTTCGGTCTTTCCCAATCCTCCGCAATCATATCTATGATTGGTATGATACCTTCAAAATTGTCAATATTGTACATTTAAATGTCCACTTAACAACATTGAAATAGAAATTATATCAAGTTGAATTGTAAGTATTAAAACATTTAATAAGAGCTAAAATATTAATAGAGTTATAAAGAAATTAATTATCTTTTATTATAGTTAAAAATTATATATAAATAAGTAATTAAAACAAAGTTTTATAACAAGAAATTTTCTTTCAATAACTATAAACTTGTAATGTAAATGGTCGCTGTTAGGAATAAATTTGTTTGTATATGAATCCGCGCATACGTCTTACAATTAGTATATTTGAAGTATATCTCTCTAGTACTCTATGAGTATATTAAAAAACAAATTTTACTGATATTAAAAATATAAATGTTTTTTTAAATTAGAAATTATTTTAAATAGTTATAGTTATATAGATTGTACATATACTTATAATATAGATAAATATATATGTATATAGTTATAACAAACGTCCATTTATCACATTATGGGATTATGAATTTTAGTACGTAAGTGCCTACCTTCTTTCTTCCACCAAAAAATTATGATTCTTATCGTGGCACTTAAAAGCGATATCGTAAATTGTAAATTATCTATCATTAGCATGATATCTCCATAAATTCTTATAAAGGAATGCAGACAAGGAATCAGAATGCAGAACGTTAGCGCAAGGAAAACGGCCAGCACTCGTAAATTGCACATTAATTTCTGTCGAGAGTTCTCTATGGTTTTGGGCCAAAGTCCAATAAATTCTAAAGTGATACGATTCAATTTCATCGCCCATTCGAAATCTACCTGTAGAAACCTTACTAAGTCACAGCTCATGAAAAGTATCTCTTAGAATCTTAAACATATATAATAAACTACAAATAACAATTAATATAACACGAGTGTAAAATAATATGTTTAATATAACGCATAAAATAGAAAATATTTCAGAAAATTAATTTTTCATTAATAATAACAACTCAAATTTTACTTCAGGAATAGTAAATAATTGACAATAAACTCTTCTATTTCAAATACGTTATAATAATAAATGCTAATATTTGTTACATCAATTAAATATGTTAATACTCAATATTGAAAACATGATGCAAAACTTTCATTAACAGCGACAAAATAGAATGTGGATAAAATGTCCCTATCATTCTTTATCGTAAATAAATGCATTTATGATAAAGTAGCTGTCCTTTCGAGTCACAACAATCACAATAATAAGCACCTTGGTGTGCGATATATTTCGAACTGTCCATGTCGAATGTTGTCAAGAGACTGACATCTGTTTCTTTTCCAGAAAATATCTCTGTTTATTATTAGCGCGCATGCTTTTCATACTATTTCTCAAAGGTATTGAACGATCAACTTGTAACAAAGAGGTTTTAATATTCTGCCTCCCTCCGTTCCAAGTTTTCAGCACCAAACGTCACGCGAAGTATTAAAAAATTTTCGTAATAACGGGTTGTTGTGTCACGTGAAAAGAATACCCGTGAGCACATCCGTTATGTTCACACGTTTTTGCAGCAGTTACAGCTTATAACATCACTACACGTGTGTCAGCAATAGACTAGGTAGATTCCAATGTTGTATACGGTCTTTCCCAGATAAATAGTTTTGCAAAAATTTTCAATTTTTAACATTGGTATGTAGTGACTAAAAGTGAGAGAAGCATCACTAACTATAACAAATATATAATTTAAAAATAACTAGTGTTGACTTTATAGAATAAACCAAGGTTGTAAACCGGAGCAAAAATACGTTCTTTGGAGCGGTTTTGAACCGGTTCGAATTTAAAAACCGCTCCGCAAACCGGATGAATTTACGGAGTAAATTATTTGGAACTTGGGATGTAAACCGAACCGGAGCGAATAAGATTGTAAACCGGAGCATAAATACGTTCTTTGGAGCGGTTTTGAACCGGTTCGAGTTTAAAAACCGCCCCGAAAACCGAATGAATGAAGTAAATTATTTAGAACTTGGAATACAAATCGAACCGAACTGGTGAAATTTGCACATTTACCACCTCTCCAGCTATGTAGCAAAGATTCAAACGTGGTAAATCTTTTTAAATAAATTAAATCCTTTTTAGATAAAGAAACCGCTCCAAAACTGGTTTTTCATGCTCCGGTTCGAAACCGGAGCGTTTGAAATCATAATAAAAAATGGTTCGCTCCGGATCGGAACGATTTTATAATTGAAATTTTGATTCGTTCTCTCGGAGCGGATACACTTCAATGGTTCGGTTCGGTTTACAACTCTGGAATAAACCAAACATTTTAATTATTAAATAGTACCTTTTTAAAGCAAATAATATAAAAATTAGAAATTGTAATGTTTATGTGTGCTAAAAATGTCTCAATTTATGTGAAAAATTAAGTTGTAGCATATAAATATGCGTACAATTGATATGTAAAATTATATATGTGTATATGTATGTATATATGTATACATATATACATACATATACACATATATAATATCTAAATACAATTTTTATCAATAAATATTCAATTATCTGGTAAAAATTCATATTTCTGTTAAATCTTGCAGTAAAATCTATAATTTATTTGCCAATATAACATTTTAATATTTACACTCAGTTTATCGCTATCTAAAAATAACATATTCTTACAACAATTTTGGCTTTATGTGATATTTTTAATAACTTCTCGTCGTATGTAAAATAGATATATACCCGACCGACGTTTTTATTAACTGAAAAATATATCGTTTTAGTATGGATAATTAATTATAGTGTAATAAATTTATAGTCACATATAAAATTTGAGATGTGTGTGCGTGCGTAAATTCACGTGCGTGTGTGTGTATGTGTGTACAGAGTGTCCAACGTAAAAGTGACCAACCGGAAAAGATAGGGCGAAATAAACTGAAGAAAATGTTAGGAACCACTTTGTAAAATTCGCAATAGTTATCGAGTTAGAGACAAAAACATCTAAGCGAATTCAGCGCATGCCAGACTCGAGGGCATGCAAAATGGTTTATTTGTTTATTATATCACCTACAATCTAGAGCTACTAGATAAAAGGGAGCTGACTCGTCCGCCATCTTGGAGCC